TCATCATCACTCCTCACACACAGCTCTCTCACTTTAATACATCAGTCAGGAAGAAGACAGGAGCCAAAACTGAGGGAGCAGGTTTAATATTCAATTTAGAGAGAGAGAGAGAGAGAGAGGGAGGGGGGGGGCGGTGTGAGGGGGATGGACAAGAGTGAGAGAGAGGGAGAGAGAGAAGAAAAAGAGGGAAAGAATGAGGAATAAGTGAAAGCGATAGATACATATAGAGAGATGCACAGAGAAAGAAAGGAAAGAGCAGAGATAAGGAAAGGAGGACGAGAGAGAGAGAGAGAGAAATAAAGAGTGAGAGAAGAAAATGAGAAAGATAAAGAAAGAGAATGAGGAATAAGATAGAGATAGAAGAGAGAGACTGAGAGATTAAGAGAGAGAGAGAGAGAGAGAGAGAGAGAGAGAGAGAGAGAACTGTGAAAGAGAGAGAGAGAGAGAGAGAGAGAGAGAGAGAGAGAGGAGAGAGAGGGGGCAGTCTGAGGGAGTGGACAAGAGTGAGAGAGAGAAGAAAAAGAGGGAAAGAATGATGAATAAGTGAAAGCGATAGATACATACAGAGAGAGATGCACAGAGAAAGAAAGGAAAGAGCAGAGATAAGGAAAGGAGGACGAGAGAGAGAGAGAGAAATAAAGAGTGAGAGAAGAAAATGAGAAAGATAAAGAAAGAGAATGAGGAAAAAGATAGAGATAGAAGAGAGAGACTGAGAGAGACTGAGAGAGAGAGAGAGATAAAGTGAGAGTGAGAGAGGGGAAGAGATATATAGAGATGGGAAGAAGAAAGTGAGAGACAGAAAAAAGTGAGAGAGAAAGGGAGAAAGAATGAGGAACAAGTGAAAGAGACAGGGAAAGGAGGAAGAGAGAAAAATAAAGCATGAGAAAAGAAAATGAGAGATAGAGAAAGAGAATGGGAGAAGAGAGAGAGATAAAGACAGAATAAAGTGAGAGAGACAGAGAGAGAGAGGGAGAGAGGGAGAGAGAGAGAGAGAGAGAGAGAGAGAGAGAGAGAGGGTGGGAATGTTCTCTCCTCCTGACTCTCCCGGTTCTGTGTGTGTGTTTATCAGAGAACCCTCCTGAAGGATGAAGATGAAGGAAGCCTCCATGTTTCTTTCTCTTTCATTCCTCTCCAGGCTGCAGCCCTGAGAGGCTACAATTCATTCACTTTGTTGTCTCTCTTTCTCTCTCCCTCTCTCTCTCTCTCTCCCTCTCTCTCTCTCTCTCTCTCCCTCTCTCTCACTCTCTCGCTCTCTCTCTCACCCATCTCCGTCTCTCTGAGTTCAGGCCAAACGTTTCTGACTCCACTAACTGCCCCGTGTCCTAAACTCAGAGGCAGCGCTGGCCGTTTCTCCGGACACTCTGACCTGCCTCGTTTCCTCGGAGGTCGGACCTGCAGCTCCACCTGCTCTGACGTCTCTCCTCTGCGTCGGATTATCTTTCATGTCTCTGAGACGTACGAGCTGCAGCGCGGATCAGAACCCTCACTCTGCTCACCTGTACTCAGGTCTGAGACTCCACCCCTGAACCACTCCGTCAGGACTCACTCTGCTCCACACACAGCAGGAGTGATGCCTCAGCAAGTGAACGCATCATCAGTCCAATCTAAATATCTAATATTTCCACATTGCAGACAGTTGAGGGAACATTATAAGATTATTTAAACTATATTCTTGATGTTTTAGACTTGCTTCGGGCCAAATGACCTTAAATCACACACACATATATATATATATATATACGGTTGCTGTCAGAACAAAACCTTGTGTCTCCAAAATGGTAACTTTACAGGAGAAGGAAAAAACATACTTTACTTTTAATGTAAGTCAATGGAACCAGACTTTTTTCCAAGTCATTTTGGGTCGTTTCTTTTAGTCCATTCTTCATGAAATTTACACACAATGTAAAGACCAACAGGCATTTTCAAATTATGTCAAAAACTGAAAAACAATAAAAATATAATATATATTGCTTTAGGCCAAATTACCTTTAATCATGTATATATGTGTATATATTGTTGCTGTCAGAACAAAACCTTGTATCTCCAAAAAGGTTACTTTACAGGAGAAGGAAAAACGTTCTTAACTTTTAAAGGAAGTAAATGGAGTACTAATTCCTAGTAATTTTGGATTTTTTCTGTTGGTCCATTCATCGTGAAAATTTGACACTTCATAAGGGGCAACTGGCCTTTTGAAATTATGTAAAAAAATTTAAAAAATGGACATATGAGGTTTTGTTCCAACAGCAAAAATATACTAGTATATATACAGATATATACACACATACACACACACTATACAGAAAAAAGTATTGGGACACCCCTCCTAATTATTATCATTGTCATTGCTAACAGGTGGATAGAATTAAGCACACAGCCTGGCAGTCTCTATAGACAAACACTGGCAGTAGAGGGTCGAACTGAAGAGCTCAGATACTTTAAACATGGCACTGTCATAGGATGCCGCCTCTGTCTCGAGTCAGTTTGTGAAGTTTCTGTCCTGCTAGATCTGCCCCGGACAACTGTAAGAGCTATTACTGTGAAATAGAAGCATCTAGGAGCAACAACAGCTCAGCTACAAAGCGGTAGACCACCAAACTCACAGAGGGGGGCTGCAGAGTGCTGAAGTGCAACATCAGCAAAGGAACTGCACATTAGGAGCTTCACGAAATGGGTCTCCATGGCTGAGCAGCTGCACACAAGCCTAAGATCACTATGTGCAAAGCCAAGCGTTGGATGGAGTGGAGTAAAGCGCTGCCACTGGACTCTGGATCAGTGGAAACGTATTCTGTGGAGTGACGAATCAGCTTCTCTATCGGTCAGTCTGATGGACGAGTCTGGGTTTGGCGAGTGCCAGGAGAACGTTACCTGCCTGACTGCACTGTGCCAGCTGTAAAGTTTGGTGGAGGAGGGATGATGATATGGGGCTGTTTTTCAGGGGTTGGTCTAGAACCCTTAGTTCCAGTGAAGGGAAATCTTAATGACTCAGCACCAAGACATTTTGGACAATTCTACACTTCCAACTTTGTGGGAACAGTTTGGGGAAGAACCTTTTCTGTTCCAGCATGACTGAGCCCCAGTGACCAAAGCAGCTCCATAAAGGCCTGACTGGGTGAGTTTGGTGTGGAAGAACTTGACTGACCCTCACAGAGCCCTGACCTCAACCCCATCACACACCTTTGGGATGAACTGGAATGGAGATTGTGAGCCAGACCCTCTCGTCCAACATCAGTGTCTGACCTCACAAATGCTCTTCTGGATGAATGGACAGAAATTCCCACAGACTCTCCAACATCTTGTAGAAGCTTCCCAGAAGAGTGGAAGCTGTTAGAGCTGCAAACCGGACCAACTCCATATTAATACCTAAGGATTTAGAATGGGAGTCATAAAAGCTCCTGTAGGTGTCCCAATACTTTTGTCCATATAGTGTATAGATACGTAATATTTCTTATGTTGAAATCAGTTAAATCATCTTATAATAAGCTTACAATAGCCAACAGCCTCAAAATTAGAAGTATTAGATATATTGACTACATTTAAGGTAATTTCACTTGCCAAGACGCCAATTTTTGCACGTTCATATTAATTATGAGACATTTAGACTTAACTGAGCTAATTGATCAATTAGCGCTCAGTTTGTATTCATCTGAAAAGCTCTTAAAATGTAGATTTAACATAATTCCGCTTGCCAAGGCAGGTTTTGCAGTAAATCTACTGTAAATATTTAATTTAACAGTGTTCACATACTGACATCACAAAAAAAGAAGTGAGGAGAACCTGTTTTTCCATGATATCGGCCCTTTAATTGTTTATTACTTTGTAAATAAGACATTTAAGGAACCTTATCATTATGTACATTCAGCAAAAAGGGTTCTATGACTTGTAACAATAGTGGACTGGTACATAGAACCATTTTCAAAAGGACCACATACAACTGGTTTTCCATCAAAGAGATTTGACCATGCAAAGAAACATGCTCTATAGAACCATTTTTAAAACGGCTCTGTATAGAACCATACACGAACACATTCTCTGTCTAGCTAAAGAACCATTTCACCAAGCATGGAAATGGTTCTTTGAGTGTCCATGGTTCTATATGGAAAGAACCTTTGAAGAGTGATTTTTGAAGAATGTAAGGTTGTTAAGCCTTAGCAAAAGGGTTCTAGATAGTACCAGGAAAAGGTTACATCACTTGTAACAATGGGAAACCCCTTTTTGGTGTTAATTAGAACCATTAAAAAAGTTCTATCTAGAACCATATACAACATTTTCCATCATACACACTTAAAACAGATGGTTCTTCAAGGGTTTGTTAATAAAGGGAATGGTTCTGTGTAGAACCATGAGTTCTACGTAGAAACATTTGCATGCTTAAGGGTTCTCTGCATGATGAACTGGTTTTTCAGATGGATGGAGAATGTGCTGTATATGATTTTATATAGAACCTCTTTGAAAATGGTTCTATATAGCACCAAAAGGGTTCTGCTATTGTTACAATATCAAGTTTGTAACAATAATAGAACCTTTGTCCATCAATCTTAAGAACGATTTTACTATGCAAAGAACAATCTAAGCATGCAAATGGTTCGATATAGAACTCATGGTTCTCAATAGAACCACTGCCTTTACTAAAGAACCCTTGAAGAACCATCTTTTTTGAAGTGTGTAGAGAAGAATCATCCATGCAGAGCTGCAAAGAACCATTTGTTCTAGATATAATCACTGTCTTTACTAAAGAACATCTAAAGATGCAGAACCATACATGAAGCTCAAGAACCTTTAAGGAACCTTTATTTTTAAGAACGTACAAGTTTTTTTTTTTTCCTAGGGTCCCCAAAAGTTCAAAGCGGTCACGTGTTTCCGTGTTGGTCGGCAGGTGGCGCACCTGCGGAGCCTCGCGCTCCTCCTCTTCCATCTGGCGTGACGTCACGCGCCCAGTCTCTCTCTCTCTCTCTCTCTCTCGCTCTTCCCCCCTCCCGCCCCTCCTCGCGCGAGGAGCGAAACAAAGTAGTGCCAGAGTTGCGCGAGAGAGGTGCGCGCACACACACAAACACACACATTCTCTCACACTCACACGCGGAAAGCGAGGAGAGCGCGAGAGACGAAGACGGATAAGAATGGGGCGCGAGGCACTGCCGGAATAACCAACAACTACAGACAGACAGACGGACGGACGGACAGACAGAAACGGAGCTGAAACTCTTTTTCGGAGAACTCGGAGCCATGCACGCGCTCCGCTGGGGTTTGGTGCTCGTGCTTGTGCGAGTCGCCGGAGGCCAGAACACAGCAGGTAAGCGCGCTCCCGATACTCACCGGAGTGGAGAGAGAGAGAGGAAAGAGTGAGAGAGCAAGAAAAGAAAGAGAGAGAGCAAGGAGAGAGAGAGTGAGAGAGCAAGAAAAGAAAAAGAGAGAGAAGGGTGAGAGAGCAAGGGGAGAGAGAGAGAGGGAGAGAGAGAGAGAGAGAGAGAAGGAAAGAGTGAGAGAGCAAGAAAAGAAAGAGAGAAGGGTGAGTGCAGGGAGAGGGAGAGAGAGGAAAGAGTGAGAGTAAGGAGAGAGAGAGAGAGAGGAAGAAGTGAGAGAAGAGCAAGGAGAGAGAGAGGAGAACGAGCGATAGAAAAGGAAAGAGAGAGAAAGGAGAGAAAGACGAGGGCGAGAGAAAGAGCAAGAAAAGAGTGAGAGAGGAAAGTTAGAGTTACACTTCGGCTCTTGGAGTGTATGAGAGCGCGCGCGAGTTTGCATTGTACTGTAGTGTGTGTGTGTGTGTGTGATTATACTGAGTTTGTGTGTATGTAAGCGTATGCATGCATGTATGTGGCGCGCGAGTGAGAGAACGATTGTGTATGTTTGCTTTACACCCGCGCGCGTGCGTCTCGGTGTGCACGGGTAAGGAAAGTTTCCGCTCGCGCTCCGCTGCGGCTCCGTCTCTCTGTGTCAGACCTGCGTATAGCAGTCCGAGCTCTGATCCATCGGTAATATCAGAGTTATCGGGGCTGCTGTGGACGCCGCGAGCGCGCGGGCTGTCTGTAGCTGGAATGTGAGCTCGCGCTGGAGCAGCAGCGAGCGGGTGCTGTTAGCGCGAGGGGGCTCGTGCTCACAGTTCGGTTGGGAGGGAAATAAATGATGCTTCAGTCAGAGAACAGAAAAAAAAAACAGCGGTTCAAACTTTTTCAGGAGAAAATTGATGCACAAGGAGATCAATACAACAAATCGATAACGATGATGCATGAAGATCACAATGTTTTGAATGTGTGCAGCTGATAATGAGACTGATGATAGGCATTCTATTATTATTATTATTATTATTATTATTACTGTTATTATTATTATTATTATTACTGTTATTATTATTATTATTATTTGTTGTTGTCACTGCATATAAATCACAGTTTGTTTGCTGATACATAATCATAAGATGCACAAGCATGTATTGCATATAAGAAACACCATATATACACTCTTAAAAAGGCAGTTCTTCAAGAGTTCTTTAGTAAAGAAAATGCTTCTGTATAGAACCATGAACACTCAAAGAACCTTTTGCATCATTAAACGGTTCTTCAGACTGATGGAGAACGTGCTATAGACGGTTCTGTGTAGAATCATTCTCAAAAAGGTTCTATATAGCACCAGAAAGGGTTATTCTATTGTTGCAAGCTCTTATCATAACAGTAGCAGAACCCTTTTTGGTGCTATAGAGAACCCTTTTCAAAAAGGTTCTGTACAAACCCGTCTACAGCACATTCCCCATCAGTCTGAAGAACCATGTTTTTAAGGGGGCATATCGCTGCTCTCAGAACAAAACCTCATATCTGCATTTTTTACTGTTTTTCAGTTTTTGACATAATTTGAAAATGCCTGTTGTTCTTTAAATTGTGTGTACATTTCATGGTGAATGGACCAAAAGAAATGACCCAAAATGACTTGGAAAAAATTCTGGTTCCATTGACTTACATTAAAAGTAAAGTGTGTTTTTTCCTTCTCCTGTAAAGTTACCATTTTGGAGATACGAGGTTTTCCTCCGACAGCAGTGATATGTATATTAGAGCTGGGTGATGTGGCAAAAATATTGCAATACTTCAAGAAACGATGTTTTCTGATCAGATCAGAACGGAGAAAAAAGAGCCAGTAGAGCTACATTTAAAAAATACTGTCAAAAACTGTGAACACAGTGATTTTTATGCAGTATTTGTCATTAAATCCAGCTGAACTGGACTAATTTCACTCTCTTCATAATGAAACATGCAGTTGGTCAGTTTCTGCAAGCACTGATTACATTCATGATATAATCAGAAAAGCATACTGTACTGTGTTGTGACGTAATTGATCACAATAGAGATAAATATTGTCATATTGCCCTATACTGCCCATAAAGGCTGGGCAATACGTAGTATTTATGTGTATCACTGTTGTCAAGAACAAACCCTCATATTTGCAATTTTGTTGTTTTTCAGATTTTGGCATAATTTGAAAATACCTATTGCCCTTTACATGGTGTGTAAATGTCATGGTGAATGAACCAAAAGAAACGGCCCAAAATGACTTGGAAAATATTCTGGTTCCATTGACTTACATTAAAAGTAAAGTGTGTTTTTCCCTTCTCCTGTAAAGTTACCATTTTGGAGGTTTTGTTGCAGCAGTAGTGAATGAATATATATATATATATATATATATATGTGTGTGTGTGTGTGTGTGTGTGTGTGTGTGTGTGTGTGTGTGTGTGTGTGCTACTATAGGATATTATGAGGTTAGAATAGAAGAATAGAATAAAGAATAGTGGCTCATGTTTAACACACTTGTATAATATAATTAACATGATCAATAGAAAGCTTTGTATGTATTATAAGCATATAGTATTTTGTATATAGTAATATTTCATCAGTTCTCATGTGTGTAAACATAAACAACATATATTATGAAAACTTCTTTCATACACACATATATATATATATATATATATATATGTATGTATGTATGTGATAACTTTACAGGAGAAAGAAAGAACATGCTTTACTTTTAATGTAAGTCAGTGGAACCAGATTTTTTTCCAAGTCATTTTTTGTCATTTCTTTTGGTCCATTTATCATGAAATGTACATACAATGTAAAGAACAACAGGCTTTTTCAAATTATATAAAAAAAACGGACAAATGACAAAAATGGAGATTCGAGGTTTTGTCCCAACTGCAGCGTCACACATTCATATATATATACACACACACACACACACACACACACACACACACACACACACACATATTAAGGTGCAAAACTGAATTTGATTTAAATGATTTAAAGTGATGCAGAACAAATGTGCTAATAACTACGTTAATGTGTATCTGTAGTAAATAAATACAGTTCCGGTTATGAATCGCTGCCTGGCTGAGGAGGTAAACAGGCCAGGCGGTTGTTAAGTGTGTCCGTGTGGCTGAAGCTGTAAATTCATTCAAAAATTTTCTCCAAACTATTTTTATTCCCGGTTATCGTTCCAGTATTCCTCCTCTAACTCCTGCTCTTTCTGGGTTTTTCCTACTCTCTTTTCCTGGTTAGTGACCCGCGGCGTAAATCAGATCAATCAGATTAAAGCGAGGCCTTTATTCTCTCCTTTCACTGGGATGTTTTCCACATCTGTCCTCCCGCTGAAGCTGAGCCCCGACTGCAGCTGTCCGTGTAACGGCTGATTAATTAATCAGAAGAGTCTGACTCTGGGATTAATTTCATTAGAGGAATCAAAAAAACGAAAGAAGGCACGGCGGATGACAAATGGTGAATTATGCGTTCGGGGATTGATTAGCGGGCGCGTAATTATGATCGTGTATTATGGTAATGATGAGGAGGATCACTGGGAAAGAGCACGAGCTGTGGATGAGGGAAATTAGCGCGCTAATCCCACTCTCTCTCTCTCTCTCTCTCTCTCTCTCTCTCTCTGTGTCTCTGTGTCTCTCGCTCACTCGCTCGCTCTCGTTATCTGGCCGCAGTTCAAATGGGACACGCTGAGAAAGGTGAGTCAATCTGTCCTGGTATTAATGTCACCATCATCATCATCTCATCATCATCATCATCGTCATCTGTCCGGAGCATCTGCTGCAGTGCTGGATTAGGCCTGGCCGATAAAACGATAACGATAATTATCATAATCACCTTTTTCCAGTATCTCTGAAACAGTTTCGGCTGGAGGATTGTTGTCGTGTGTCTGTGATTAGCAGCGACGGCTTGAACTCTGAACAGCTGGCAGTTCATTTTTAATATCGATGATGCAGGTTTGGATATTTTCCACGGAGTGATTATGAAACCGTAACCATCACAAACGTTTCTCTATACGTTTGAGGTGTTTCGATAACAAGTCTAGCTGTTTACTCACAACAGTACAAACCAGTGGGACTGTTAGCACAGTTAGCTAGCATTAGCCTCGATCAGTTAGCAGAGTTAGCTAGCATTAGCCTCGTTCAGTTAGCAGAGTTAGCTAGCATTAGCCTCGATCAGTTAGCAGAGTTAGCTAGCATTAGCCTCGTTCAGTTAGCAGAGTTAGCTGGTGATTGCTTTGAGGTAGCAGAGTTAGTTAGCATTAGCTGTTTTCAGGTTAGCTGGTGTTAGCTGTTTTAAGTTTGATTATTTAGCTAGCGTTAGTTGTTTATTTTGTGGAGTTAGCTGGCGCTAGTTGTTTATTTTGTGGAGTTAGCTGGCGCTAGTTGTTTATTTTGCTGAGTTAGCTAGCATTAGTTGTATATTTTGCTGAGTTAGCTGGCGTTAGTTGTTTATTTTGCTGAGTTAGCTGGCGTTAGTTGTTTATTTTGCTGAGTTAGCTGCCGTTAGTTGTTTATTTTGCGGAGTTAGCTGGCGTTAGTTGTTTATTTTGCGGAGTTAGCTGCCGTTAGTTGTTTATTTTGCGGAGTTAGCTGGCGTTAGTTGTTTATTTTGCGGAGTTAGCTGGCGTTAGTTGTTTATTTTGCGGAGTTAGCTGGCGTTAGTTGTTTATTTTGTGGAGTTAGCTGGCGTTAGTTGTTTATTTTGCGGAGTTAGCTGGCGTTAGTTGTTTATTTTGTGGAGTTAGCTGGCGTTAGTTGTTTATTTTGCGGAGTTAGCTGGCGTTAGTTGTTTATTTTGCGGAGTTAGCTGGCGTTAGTTGTTTATTTTGTGGAGTTAGCTGGCGTTAGTTGTTTATTTTGCGGAGTTAGCTGGCGTTAGTTGTTTATTTTGCGGAGTTAGCTGGCGTTAGTTGTTTATTTTGTGGAGTTAGCTGGCGTTAGTTGTTTATTTTGCGGAGTTAGCTGGCGTTAGTTGTTTATTTTGTGGAGTTAGCTGGCGTTAGTTGTTTATTTTGTGGAGTTAGCTGCCGTTAGCTGTTTATTTTGCGGAGTTAGCTGGCGTTAGTTGTTTATTTTGTGGAGTTAGCTGGCGTTAGTTGTTTATTTTGCGGAGTTAGCTGGCGTTAGTTGTTTATTTTGCGGAGTTAGCTGGCGTTAGTTGTTTATTTTGTGGAGTTAGCTGGCGTTAGTTGTTTATTTTGCGGAGTTAGCTGGCGTTAGTTGTTTATTTTGCGGAGTTAGCTGGCGTTAGTTGTTTATTTTGTGGAGTTAGCTGGCGTTAGTTGTTTATTTTGCTGAGTTAGCTGGCGTTAGTTGTTTATTTTGTGGAGTTAGCTGGCGTTAGTTGTTTATTTTGTGGAGTTAGCTGGCGTTAGTTGTTTATTTTGTGGAGTTAGCTGGCGTTAGTTGTTTATTTTGCGGAGTTAGCTGGCGTTAGCTGTTTATTTTGCTGAGTTAGCTGGCGTTAGTTGTTTATTTTGTGGAGTTAGCTGGCGTTAGCTGTTTATTTTGCTGAGTTAGCTGGCGTTAGCTGTTTTCAGTATGCAGAGTTAGCCGCCGTTAGCTGTTTGTAGAAGTTATGGTGAAAAAAATCTTGTGATTTTGAAGAAAATGTCGGTAAAGACGTTTAACGTTCTCTGCAGTGTGGAACTGGTTTGGGTTTCGTATATATTGGATGTATCGCTGTGTTTTTGCTACGTTTGCTGAGGGCTACACCTGTGTGTGTTTGTGTGTGTGTCTGTGTGTGTGTCTGTGTGTGTGTGTGTGTGTGTGTGTGTCTGTGTGTGTGTCTGTGTGTGTGTTTGTTTGTGTGTGTGTGTGTGTGTGTGTGTGTTTGTGTGTGTGTTTGTGTGTGTGTCTGTGTGTGTGTCTGTGTGTGTGTGTGTGTGTGTGTGTGTCTGTGTGTGTGTTTGTTTGTGTGTGTGTCTGTGTGTGTGTGTGTCTGTGTGTGTGTGTGTGTCTGTGTGTGTGTCTGTGTGTGTGTGTCTGTTTGTGTGTGTGTGTGTGTCTGTGTGTGTGTGTGTGTGTGTGTGTGTCTGTGTGTGTGTGTGTCTGTGTGTGTGTGTGTGTGTGTGTGTGTGTCTGTGTGTGTGTGTCTGTTTGTGTGTGTGTGTGTGTGTGTCTGTGTGTGTGTGTCTGTTTGTGTGTGTGTGTGTATAGAAGGAAACATTCTCTTGATGTGTGTTGATGCGGTTCCCACTGTGAAAGATGTGCTTTGAGACGTTTCTCCTGGTGGGTTCTTTATTAAATGCTCATGTGATGTAAAAAGCAGCTCCTGGTTTGAAAAACTGAACCGGGTTTGAGGTTCTCTTATGACTGGACAGTGTGACACATCGCTGATTATGCGAGCTTAAGTGGAAACGTACTCTGAGGTGTTTGGCTGCAGTGATGGACTCTGATGTGTCATTGTTTGGGAATTTCGGTTCTGATTCTTGTTCACGTTAACTCGTTATGTTGAGGGTCTCAGAGTGAGGGAGGACTCTAGAGCAGCTCGTAAAGGATGAGGATTTTGTACTTCCTGTTTTCTGCGTGTCTGTCTGAGCTGTCAGGAACGCAGAGTGTTGAAAGGAGAAAGAGACAATTTTCACATTGTTTATTACCATTTTAGCATCATCACTGTTACGGTTTGTTTCCGTCCAATCAAAGACCATAACTCTGTTTTCCACTGCTTTTTTTATTTACACTAATTGAAATTCCAACAGTGATCCAGAATTCCTGGGAATAAAATCTCATTACTTTAATTTACATTAAAAGTATGATTTTCCTTAATGATAATTAAAACCATGTAAAGCTGCACTCGTTGTTTGTATAACAGACAGCAGTGTTTGTGTTGTTTCTGGGCTTTGAGTTATGTTGAATTATGAATCTATGGAGTGCAAAGGGTCTTTTTGCTGATCTGACGCCTCATTTTAGAACGACAAAGTTTCTTGTATTGACTTTGAAATTGTTTTCTGAAGGACGCAAAGTGAGAGAGACGCACAGTCCTTCATAATTACAATCTCGCTCGCTTTCCCACTCACTCTCTCTCTCTCTCTCTAACCCTGCTCTCTTCACTCTCCAGTTCTCTCTTTGTTCATTTTCCCTCTCTCACTCTCTCCTCTCACCCCTCTTTTCTCTCTCTCTCTCTTTTCTCTTTCTCTTTATTTTCCCTCTCTCACTCCCTTTTCTTTCTCTCACCCCCTCTTTTCTCTCTCTCTCTCTCTCCTCACTCTTTCTCCATTTTCCCTCTCTCGCTTTCTCTCTCTTTTCTCTTTTTTTTTTCTCTTTTGGTTCATTTTCCCCTTTCTCTCGCTCTCTCTCCTTTCTTTCTCACCTCCTCTTTTCTCTCTCTCTCTCTCTCCATTTTCCCTCTCTCACTCTCTCTCTTTTCTCTTACCCCCTCTTTTCTCTCTCTCTTTTCTCTTCTTTCTTTTGGTTCATTTTCCCTTCCTCTCTCTCTCTCTCTCTCTCTCTCTCTCTCTCCCTCCCAGTTCTCTCTAACCCTCTGTCTCCCACATTTCTCTCTCTTTCTCTCCTTCTCCCTCTTTTCTCTCTCTCTCTCTCCCTTACTCTCTCTTTCTCTCTCCCTCCCTCTTTTCTCTCTCTCTCTCTTTTCTCTCTCTCTCTCTTTCTCTCTCTCTCTCTCTCTCTCTGTTCAGAGTGTTAAATGAAGTGAGTGTGTGTGCGCGGGCCGAGCGAGCTGTGCAGCTGAGAGAGTGAGGTCTCCACTCTGACCGTAACAAGCCCTGTGTGTGTGAGTGTGTGTGGATGATTTGAATGTAGTGATTTTGTTTCTGCTCGTTATTTCCGCTGCTGTCTCTTCTCGTCTGTCGTTGCTGGTGTGAACGTAATCTGTGTGTCTCAGCTCTCACACAGAATCTCGACCGTCACACAGCGCTGAGCAGAACTCAGAGACCAGCTTCACTGATTACAGCCAAACAGCCGTTAAAGACAAGCTCTTCATTGTTCCGGTGTAGATGATGCACATTAGATATGAGATGATCCACTTACTCAACAAAGGAGAAAGCAGAAGAAAAAGAAGTGAAAACCTGGAGTTACAGAGAAAAAATGATTTCTAACAACCACCTGGAAGACCTGGTAGACACCAAAACAGAATAAACAGCACTTAAAGCTTTCATCTCTGAGAGAGAGGAGAAAATCAAGCTGCTTCAGATCTGAAAACATCCACAGGTGTTTCTGTCCATCCTTCCACTGTGAGAAGACGACTCAGCGCTGTGGGTCCGAAAGGATGTGTAGCTGATCAAGAAGAACCTCACTGAGAAAAGGAGACGGACACATCGAACAAAGAAGCTGAACGATGGACTGACCACCCCAGAGTCCAGACCTCAACACCACTGAATGCGTTTGATTACTTCAGAAAATGATCAACCAGCTTCTAAGACTGAACTTTGGAGGTGTGTCTGCAGATTCTTTGAGGAGCTGAAAGTGAGGCTCCTGAAGAAGTTTTAGGAGCATTTCTATTGGTCCATTCATCATGACATTCTGACCCGTGTAAAGGACAGCTGGAGTGTTCAGATGATGAAGAAAAGTAAAAATTGGAAAAAAATAGATTTTTTTTTTCCCGGCGCTGAAAAATGAATAACTTGCTTCCCTGGCTGCTGAGTGTGTGTGTGTGTGTGTGTGTGTGTGTGTGTGTGTGTGTGTGTGTGTGTGTGTGCAGCAGGCCTGAAGTGATGGAATCTGAAGTGTGCGTTTGT